TATTTTATCTGATTTTTAATTTTATTTTAAAGATCCAATTAAAGTATATAAGCTGAAGAACTTGAGATAAATATTTACCCAACTCAAACTTTGGGGTTTTTTTGTAAAAATGTTTGCAATTATTATGAGGTGTGTTTTTTGTATTCAATAGCTGTGGTTATTGGACTTTTTAATTTTTGTGTGAATGGTACATCCAGTATACATGTGTGCATGTAAATGTCAGAATACTGGCATTGATTAGAGCAGCATCTTTTCTCATCCTGTTTAAATAAGACATCTCAAACATGACCGGGAAATATCATGCCTCATAAAGCAGGATGACTTCTCATGCTCCTCTAATTCTGGACCTCAGCTAAATGTGAAATATGCACTAAGATCCCAGAAGATGTCATCATAAAGTATTAAATCTAGATCCTATATTTCAGTATATCAAACCAGGAGGCCTTTTAGAGAAACTGTATTTACAGAGAGTATTCATTTAATATTGTCATACTCTGCTTTTATGGTAAATAATCAGAGCCTTAACTTCAGTACAAAGTGATCAGTGTGCTGTACAATAGAGCTGTCCAGCTCGTTGCCTGTGAACCCTATATGTCATATGAGGAGTTAAGTTGAGGCCCCTGGACTCCTGTCAGACTGCTGTTCCCCCTTCCATTGCTTTGGCTGCAACAGCATCTAGAGTCTCTGGGATCCATTTGTTGTCTCTAGCTTCCACTTCCTGTTCTTGCCTGGCGGGGGCAGGACAGTGTGTCTTGGGGAGTTGAGGGTGACCCTGGGGCCGTGTGAGCGTATAATGCATGTGTGGGAGGGGGTGCTCGCATGGGCACACAGTGCTGCCTGTGTGGATGCATGATGCAGCGATCAGGGGAAGGGGCAGGGGGGGCTTGCCTTGGTGCAGCCTGCGGGGCATGCGACTCCCAGCCCCTTAGAAGTTGGACAGCCTGCTCTACAATATTGCACGGCTTTTTTGTAGAAGGCGTTGTTTGTATAAAGCTATTGGAATAAAGTGGTTCAATTCCTTTTCTAGTACTTCATCTTGGGTGAAATCTGCTTCATTCATATTAGCCTAGCATAACTTGGCTTTATGCTGATGCACTGCATACAGCTTGAGACTGATGAAATCTGTGCTCATGACCATGTGCTATTTTCTGGTACCTTCACCTGCCTCAAATCTATATTTTTATATATGGGGAGGAAGAGCAACTATAGCACCATCTTTTCACTTGCTGGTGGCATGCAACTTAGGGAATCTATGGTACCACTTCGGTCCGCTTCTTCTTTCTGTTACCTCTGCTGGGCTGAATGCTCCAGTGCTATGATGCATATAAGAACCTGGTTGCATATGGCTTGCTTGAAGGGTCAGTTCAGCATTCTTTTGGCATATTGTGTTGATATGAGGGTGTCCCACTCCAAACAAAGTATATACTGCTTATAGAACATTGTAATGCTTGTAACAGTGGGGAGCTGCCAGGGTTTAGTATCAAGTTAACAACTGCTGCTAACCTTTTTTCCCTAACCTTTTGCTAAGCTCATGGAAAAAGAAGAAAGTTCTTAAGGTTAAACTTATACCTAAATGTATAAATTACATGAAAACATTTGTAATTTATATTAAAATAAAAGCATGAATATTCTTGCTCACTTTATATATCGGGGAGCTCCTTTTTCTAATGGTCTCTTGAGATTAGTATTCAGAATGATATTGTTCTTTGGATGCATGTGTGGTGATGAGTGTTTCAAATTTTGTTTAAGGTGGTTTTCAGCTGTTTCCTTTAAGAAAGGACCCTCACCCTTCCCACAAATGCAAGAATAGCAAAAATAGGACAGACTACTTTCTGTTGCTTGTGCTCCCTGGCTTGAAAGCTAGCTGCTGGAGAAAGGGGTCCAGAACATGGTCTTTTTAGCCACTCAAAGGACCTTGCAAAATTGTAACAGCATTAGGCTTTTTAAGGCATTGCTTTTGGCTTGCCCCTCTGGTCACAGATATACTAGTTTGTTTGAAAAAGTAGAATTGTCTTATAGTGGGTTAAGCCTTATTTTATTAAACTGAAACTGAAGTTAGGGGGAAAAATGTTCTGTTAAAGGGGAAACCATAGAGGGACATATTGCCATCTGGTGGACAGGATATAGTGAAAGTTGGTGAAGTTTTTGAGTCTGTTCTCTGATTTGGTGGCACAAAGATTTTTTTTTTCAGGATCAGGAAAATTAAGGTTCCATCAGCAGATCCCAGATGTTAAACTGAAAAATTAATATTGCCTTGTGAATCTTCCTTTTTGATTGCTTCTTGGAATGCCTGCCCAAACAAGAAGGTCTTATAGCATCTCTGAAAGATGTCCAGGCTTGAGCTATGGCAAACCTCAAAAAGAAGGGAGTTCCAGAGCTGAAGAGTGACTGCCAAGAATTACCTTCTGTGTGTTTTTTTTTTTTGCCAAGTGGACCTGGTTCAATGATGGTACTTGTGGGAGGTTGCTTTAGGCTCACCTTAAGGATTGTGATAGAAGGTAAGGGAGAAAGTCCTTTTGGTACATAGGGCCCAGATCCTTTAGGGCCTTAGGTCAAAACAGGCATTTTTGAATTTCACCTGGAAAGCTATTGGGAGCCAGTTTAGACTGGAGTATTGGAGTTGTGCTCCTGGTAACCCAGCCACATCAGAAAGTGTGCTGCTGTGTTCTACACCAGCTGCAGCTTCTGGATGGTGTTCAAGGGTAGCTCTACATCTTTAAGGGGCTGCATTGGCTGTGCAGAGGCAGCAGCGCTGGAAGGGAGCTACGGCAAAATTTGGGGTGGCTGTAGTCCCCACCCCAAGCCCAACCCCTGCCAAGAAGAGCCCGGTGCAGCCTGTGGGTGTAGCCCGCCCATCCCATCCCATCCCATCCCATCCCACGCAGATCCAGAGGCACACGCCCTGCCCCCGGGG